AGAACTGTCAAAATTGAGATAAATACATAGGAAAATAGCCCGTCGTCTGCTCTTTCAAAATCAATAAAAATTTTTCCTAAAACCTCCATTTTTTCCCGAAATATTCCAGAATTTCAGAGAACCAGTTTTTGAAAAACCAGCGGTTTTTTGAAATATCCAGAAATGTTTTTCGTTTTTTCTCGATTTATGATTTTTGGATTTTGGTACAAGGATTTCTCAGTCCGGGTCCGTCCAACATATTTAAATTTTTTTTTTGTTTGAAAGAGCGCGTCGAGATGCAGGTCACTACAGAGTCCTTTTTTTAACTAAGCTTTGTTTTTTATTATATATAAAGACACTTATGTGACTGGACACCCATTTTTGGGGCGTTTTTTGAGTCATTGGACTTGTGATCTCCTTTCTCCGCTAAAAAAGTAAGAATCTCAAAAAAAGGACTCTGTAGTGCTCTGCATCCTGATATGCTCTTTCTAACAAAAAAAAATTTAAATATGTTAGACGGGTCCGGGCTGAGAAATCCTTGTACCAAAATGAACTATTTTTGACTCTTGTTTGGTGAATATCTCAGTCAAACATCAGAGTATCGAGCTGAAAATTTTATCACAGCTTCCTCACATCAGCCCCAACATATGCTCCAAATTTCAGCCCATTTGAACGTACCTGGGCTGAGATCGATTTTTGAGGGGGGGGGGGGCCTTAATATAGCATCTTCAGTTAAATTTTGTACAAGACATTGAAGTATTATATTTATATTGATTAATTATCGATTTGTAGATTGACAATTGACATTCTACAAAAAGTTTTGAACTACAGGAAAATTTTATAAATAAAAACAACGGACATTTCTATTTACTAATGCTCGAAAAGCAATAACAAATGGATCAATTGATCGTAATGCAACTGATGAGACAACATCAAATAGTGTTAATTGTGTGGAATAAATATCCAAAAGTGATTGATTCTATTTGAAAAAAAAAGTAATGTAAAATCAGAGACTATTAAAAGAAAAATAACCTGAAATTATAAATGAACAAGAAGTACATCGACAATTTATCGTGAAAGACATTTTCATTTATCATCTTCAATTTGAACACTATTAACAATAACTGTTAACAATCGTAAAGCCTATAACAATATAAATTCTATTATTATTTTTTCAGTACATACACATGACATGAAAAGATACTTTTATTTATAATAATTAAGACGCCTAGTTTTCCTTCAAACTCAAATACATAACTGAAGATTACTGTCTCTAAATCTTGTTGAGTTCTGGACATCAACAAGATGATTATTTTCAGATCATCGATTCGTTGAAGTGTGAGTGTGGGCTCAATAGAGGAGAAAAATTACATCTACACACTCACACCCTCGAAAATGTTTTTTTTTTGCTTCCTACCATGTGTTTCAGGTTCATGTCCACTTGTTAATAATGAATCATAATGTTTTATTAAATCTTGTACTTTAATAACTTGTTTCGAATGAAATGTTTCATGTGATAACATAACAAGAAATTCAGCAATACAATAAATAAAATGCTATTTAAAAATAAACGAAACGATTAGAAATGCAACGAATTTCATCAGCTTCTAATTAACTATTATTAACACGAATTAAAAGTAATTGAACAAGTAAATCGAGTACAGCAGCTTGAAAATCACTTTCATTTGTATTTTAATATATTTTTTAAGACTAATTTTTTAGTTCAATAAAAACTAAAATAGAAAACAAAAAAAACAGAATAGATCAAATTCATTTTTTTTGTTTATTTTACTCTCGTATTGCACTATTTATACTTGATGCATAACATGAACCAAATAAAATAAATTATCGATTGTCGAATACTTATTGTATGAATACGAGTTAAAGAATTATTTAATGATAGTTGTGAAGAAACATTTGAAGATTTAATAAAAACTAAATTAAAAGAATATTTTTAAATGAATGTTGTGTTAACAGAAAAAATGATTTTCAAATTTCGAATTGATAGCGTTTCTTGCAGATCGCTCACGTCAACTAGATGATTTAATATTCGAATTTCAAGATAGAACCGAATCAAAAGATCTGACACTTTCACAACAAAACTACTCTCGTTAAGATCATCGATATTTGTAATATCAGTTTTTCTGTTACTATGACATTCTTATATTGAAATTTTCCGTCTCTTGGAAAGACCCTTTCAGAAACCTTCATTATAAGATTTCCATCTAAAGTTTTATCCATAGACAAGTTTCAAACACAATACAACATCTTAAAGGTTTTAGCTTAACCAATAAATAAAGAAGATTAATAATTGAAATTTTCTTTACAATAAATATTTACTATTTAAAAGAAGTTACCCCTTGTGTACATTGAATGTTGATTTAAAATAATTAAGTGTTTCTCTTCTAAATTTTTTTGATAAATCTTGTGTAGAAATAAGACTTAAAACTGATTTCATAGACAATAATAATCATTTCTGATGAGTTTAATAAACTTTTATGTATTTGATATGATGAACATATTAATTCGAATAATTTCCAAAAGTACCTAATTATGTATGATTAACTTTTTTAACTTTGTCTGTGTTTGATGTTGTTGATGAATCTTTATCATTCTCTTTAAAAAGAAAATCAAATGAATTCATTCAGACGAAACATGATCAAATATATTCTTCAAATCTAAAACATTGGAACTCCTTTCTTCTGTGCAAAACGGAAATATCAACTATATTCTGTTCAAAAGAATGATGATAAAATAGTTCAATTTTTCGAATTACTTGAATCATTTATGCTACTTTCAAAACATTTTTTCATTTGTTGAGATTTGATAAATCTTCAAATAAAAAGAAAGAATTCAAAAAAAAACATAATAAATATCTTTTTTTTTTCTCTTTACTTGAAAAGATCAAAATTATTAAGATCATGTAATATAAAGGGATGTTAAAAAAAATTATAAATAAACGAAGTTCATCATATTGATTATGAAAAAATTGGTCGAATTGTTTTTGGTCTTAAAACATTTGAAAGAACATAAATATCTTCTAAACATCCAACCTATATAAAAGACAAAAATGACAAACAATTTGTATTCAAGTTAATGCTTGAGCGTGTAATGAATGATGAATTTTATATATCCATTGACATGGTAAAAATGAATTGTGATCAACAAAACCTTAAAATCAAAAAGTAGCTAATAACTAACTTAATGCAACAAAATCGACTTATTCATCTAAATTCGAAAAAAGCTACGTAGTTATTATCTCTACAAAATACATACTTAGCAAAAGTCGAAGCAGTTGCTTGACGAACCCGTATATCAGGATATATTGTTTTAATTGTTTTTGTTGTTGTTCAAGATAAGTTAATATTCGAAAATCAATGTCATCTATTAATTGAGCTAGACTAACCTATTTTATATACACACAAAAAAAAAATTTTTTATAAACATAAATTTCTTTTATCTACTTGAGCAAGAATACAGGAACTTGTAGTATGTTGAATAGAATCTTCTAATAATTTAATTCCTATGATTGTAAATGCATGACTATTAATTAATAAAAAAAGGTAATAATGTTCGTAAAGCATTTAATGAAACATGTATAACACGTGCATTATTATCATTAAGACATATAATCTTGAACTGTCTTGTGAATCAGTTGATACAAGTGAACATTGATTAATAAAAGAATTATTAAATGAATTTGATAATGATGATAGTGTTAAAAGATGATTTGTTATTTGAATTAATGTAATAAGTAAATTTGCACATGCACCACGTAAATGTAGATCACCGTATTCACATAAAGATAAAAGATATGTAATATCTTAAAAAAAAGATACCTTGATGTTCGATAAATTTTAATGTATTACAAGTCATATAGAGATGTGAATTTCATTTTTTCCTTTAGAGAATTCAATTTTAATTATAAAATTATATCTAATCAGAAATCTTCAAAGACTAAAGAAAAACTTCTTAGAGGATACAATTGATTTCATATCTCGAACTTCGGCTTAGAATTTTTTTTGAGGTAGTTATGTGATTGTATAATTTCAATCTCTGATGTATCAATGCAGACTTTGAGCTTCAATAAAATGTTCTACTTGACATCTTTTCGAGTCTGATAATGTTCTAGTCTTTTGTTGGTTTCAAAAAAATTAAAAGTAGGAATAGGACTAGCGCTGCTGAATCAATATTGAGAAATCTCCGTTCTTCAATTTTTAGATTCCAATATATATATATGTTTCAACAATTTAATAGTGAAATTGTCATATCTATCAGATAACTTTCACTAAAACTTTGAGACATTAACCCATTGAAGCCACGTCAACTAAACGCTGCCACAATCCCCTTCACCTAGGCCCTCCTACTGTTACGACATTAGAAATAATTTTGGATTATAAAAAAAAGTCAAACAAGAACTAAACATACTTTTAGTAAGATAAACAAATGGATCAAATTGTTTATAAATACGATAGACATATTGGTACAGCACTTTTAACACTAATACATGATTCACCATCACTTTTTATCGTACCATCCATATTAAGTATATATCTAATCGGAAAAAAATATAATTGATTAACAAGTTTAGCAGCTTATCGTTCGTTTTTCATTATTAATCATTGATGTTGAATCGAATTTATCATTCATTTCAATAAAACAACATTGATATGTTGAATAAGCTATTGTTTTAGAAAAAAAAACAAATGAAAAAAATTCTTGTTTTTTTTTCTCAATATTTACCTGTTTTTAAGGCTTCACTAACACGAATTTCTTCTATAGATCCAATTTGGGTTGAAATTAAGAATTCATCTAAATCAAATAAATCTGAATAACCAAGTAATTGAATAAGATTTTTTATTAAACTAAGATAACCAATTATTAAATATGTACTAGTATTTTGATTTTGATGTTCAAGTAATTGATCTATTTAAATAAAAGACAATTATAATGGATTGAAATTATTATTTGAAAGAAAACTTACTAATTGCATTTGTCATTAGAAAACGTGCTATAACCATAGGATAACACATTTGCTGACTAGGCCATGAGAAGTTTCTAAGAATAGCTTAGTCATTGATTATATATTTCAAAAGAAAATTATTTATTGTTAATATTAGGAAAAGAAAAATTCGTTCTCACTCGACTTCATACTTTAACTATAACGAGAGCCTGTGTACTCCTATGCCTAAACCATTCTTAAGTTGCATGAAACTACGCTCGATTACTTTCGAGGACGGATCGCTTCAAATGATAGACAGTTTCTCAGTTCGTATTTCGTTAAAT